TTGTACAGGTATATGTAGATATACTACACACCTACCTTATTTGTACAGGTATATGTAGATATACTGCACACCTACCTTATTTGTACAGGTATATGTAGATATACTGCACACCTATCTTATTTGTACAGGTATATGTAGATATACTGCACACCTACCTTATTTGTACAGGTACCGGTATATGTAGATATACTGCACACCTATCTTATTTGTACATATGTGAACTGTGGCTTTTACATCATATGTTCAGCTAACTAGCTTTCAATTCACCAGTCCAGACAACCCGTTCATGAGATTCATTCCAAGTTACCAACTTGATGTTAATTTTATATTCTTCATGTTTTACAGCTGATGCCATATGCAATGCTTCTGGGTTTGGTTTCAATGGTTACCATAGTAATGGGGAACCCAAGTGGAACTTAGTAACAAATATCAACTGTTCAGAATTTTTTGTATGTGAATTTTCTGCTTCATAAGTTTGATTATTGTGTGTCTTGAATTATTTTCTAGAAATCTGGAAATAGTGTCATGGGTTGTATTATAGACTCATCTATGATGCTAGCCTATGACATCACTTATATCAACCACCAACTCTGTGAACAATTGCTATCTGGTGATAAAATTTTTATCACATGACCAACTTTGCATGTAAAAAGAACAGAGAAATTTGATGGAACTTATTTTTATTATTGCAAATCATATGCTGATTTATGCATGACGACTTACCACATTAGTGGATGTACGGCCGCCAATGTTTTTCAAGATCAGCAGAAATGTTACGCTTCTCAGTGATATTTCTTCCATTCTTCGTTATTATGAGTTATCTCATTTTACCATCTGAATAATAATTATTGTGTTATCCAGTCTGAAATTCTCATATTGAGGGGGGGGGGCAAAATAAAAAATAGTACTGATGCACAATTTGGTTTTATCTGTGTTCGGAATTGATGACATTTAGTATGAACTATGAGTTAGTGATATTTTAATCTAAACATCACTACGTTAAATGATATACACTGTGGTAATATTATGCATTCCCCATTCAATGATGAATAACTCCAGTAAACAACAGAAGAACTTACTTTGGTTCATATTTTGTGATAAGCACATGTTCAAGAAAAAAAAAAAAAATATTTTTTTTTCTGTGAATGTATTCTTTTCGGGCATTTTCGTGTTGAATAAAATGTGTATGTAACTTTGCATGTGTTGTGTTATTACGCTATTATTTGATTGTTTATTGGATTAAAAATGTAATCCCCAAAACAAAACTTTCATGCATTCTACCAAAGGAAAAATTACATTGCTATTCTATTCTGGTTATGGTCTGAGATTGTATAAAGATGGTTGAAATAATCTTCATTTTATATCAGTTGGCTGATCCACAACCTTCACCAACAATCCAAGGTTGACTACTCTCCTCACAAGCAACATTGATACAATCAATCAATTCAGAAATATTCACTGAGAAGTTTGTAGACTAACATTTATTTTCTCACCATATTTTCTTTTTAGACATGTCAAAATTTGAAACAAACGAAGGATACATGGCATATGACTGTTAACCCATACATGAGGTATGCAGCATTTGATCGTGTGTCTGTCCCGCGTTTGAAGTTGTTTTCTACTTTACTTCTGTCATGTATATGGCATGGATTTTACCCAGGTTACTTTTGGACTTCAGGTAATGCATTCCTGACAACAATAGTTTCTAAACAGGTAAGATTACCGACACATTAATTCCAGTCTATTTTACGGTTTGTTTTGGCGTCAATGAATGCCACCCATTGTTTAAAATGATGTAATAAACAACACTGAAGTTGCGCATAGTTTCCTGCATCATCAACACATACATATTTTTCCAAGCAAGTTTAGTAATCACTTATAGCTTGATGATAAAAATAATGCTATTATGTCGTAATGAAAACTTGAAGGATCTGCTCATCGGTTGAGAGGTGGGGGTGTTCTGAGGGAAATATTTATGTTCAATAAACAGTGCTTTCAGAAAAAATAGCTGCTGTTCCTGACAATTTATAAACATAAAATATTTCCAAATTTGAACGACGACGACAACAATCGTAGTTATGTCATCGCATACACATGCCCTGTAACAGTTGACTTGGTCTGTCTGTCTGTGTGTCTGTGTGTGTGTGCAGCGGTAAGCACATTATTGGATGTTAATCAACTAATATATATGCATAGCAACCAGAATCTAATTGGCTTTGCAGAACATTGTGGAGCAGCACATCAAATTATTTTGGTCAATCCAGTTATCTCAATTGAATTTGAATGAAACGTTTGATAATTTGTTATAAATTACTTAAAAATTATGGAAACAGCTTCTTTGAAAGCATTTGTTTAGTGTGGTGATTGCATACATTATATTGAATGACAAAGCTTACTGTAAAATTCTCTATTTTCGATTTGCTTGGAATTAATTTTCGCTGAAGGGGTGATACATATTTCACATTCAACTCATCAAAAATCAGTGATAATAAATTCCATACAAAATAAAAAAAAGCCTTTTCAGTGAAAATTAATTCCAGCTAAAATAAAGTATTTTACAGTAATATAAATTAATATCAATTTATTTTCCAGGGGAGACAGAAAATACGCCCATATTTCTTATCAAGCAAAGAATCAAAACGGGTGTATGATATAATAACACTTATATTCCATCAAATCAATGTTGTTTACATATTTATACCATTTGCATTATTATCTAATGAATACATCATCACATTTTACAGGTAAGTAATAACTCAATATAATCATACAAATAAAAAAAAACAGTTAGAAA